ACAAAAAAAAAAAAAAAAAAACATTAACTTTGATCTGAAAATATATTAATGTCTTAATAGCTAATCGTTTTCAGTGAAAGCATTGGTGTACATAATTTATACCATTCTTATTAAAAATGTAAAGTCTTAAGGATATAGTTACACTTCAAAATGACAACTAAACTGTTAGTTTTCATGGTATATGGGCAATTGATCTTGAGAGGCTAGAGAAATAATAAGCATTTTTATTAAACTTCAGTTGATCAGTACTAAATCAACTCTGTAGTGATGCAACCAATTTAAACAGTTTCTTGTAAGGGACAACTTCAGTCACTGACATTAGTATCAGTTCCCATTTCTCTCTACCCCTTATTCCTCTATATATTCACACATATCTTCTCTTCTATATCTCTCTTATCTCCATCCATTATGCATATTTGTATATGTGTATACTTCTACAAATATAAGATATTGTGTATTATATGATATACATATAAATAGTACAGTGATATATATATACACACACACATACATTTTTTTAAATACTTGCAATTTATCTGTGTGGCTATATGTACACCTAGTTCACTCCTTTTGATCACTGCATAATACTCCTTCACAAACATGTTCCACATTTTATTTATTGATTGTTTTTCTGATGGACACATAGGTGGATTCCTATTCTTTGCCTTGTCACAATGAACATTTTCATCCACTTCATTTTGCAAAGCTGTTTAAGAGTTTTCTGGTTTATATACCCCAAAGTCGAATTGCTGGATCTTAGGGTATGTATACATTAAATTTCATTAAATACTAGCAAAAAGCTTTCTAAATAGGCTCTACATGTGATTTCTTATTATTCCACTTGGTATTATCCAAATTTCTCATATTCACTAATTTTATGGATGTAAATCAGTGTCACATTTTAGTGTGTGTTTCACTGAATAATAAGGTTGAACATCATTTCACGTTCTTTTCAAACTTTCTGTTGTTCCCTTTTTTGAATTTCCTCTCCCTTTTGTCCTTTAAAAAAAATCCCTTTGTCTCTTCTGATTGTTTTTTGGTGTTTTGTTGATTTGCAAAAGTTATTTGAATAATCTAAATATTAATCGTTCTCAGTCAAAATGCTGCAAATGGCTTCTCCCTATAATCTGCTAGTTTGCTGCACTATCTTTTAGTTTTGAGGTGGTAATATTTATCAATTTATATTTTTACTGTTTGTGTTTTAAAGCTTTGTTAAAAATTCAAGCCAATATTAAGATCATAAAGATATTTTACCTGGGTTTATTTTATTTTTTCCAATTCAAATATTTCTAATTCACCCCTTAGATACATATGAAGTTTATTTTTATATGACATGAGATAAGGATTTTGTTTCTTTATATAGTGAACCAATTTCCCCAATAATATTTGCTGAGTAATCGATTTCTCTTCTCCTCCCTCCTTCCCTCCCTCCCAGGGATTTTGACACCTCCTCTACCGTGACCAAGTTCTCTTACATAAAAGGATCTGACCATGGATTCTATGAGAGTATTTCAAAAAGTTCATGGTAAAATAGAATAAAAGATAATACAAAATTTTCCACGAATTTTTTGAAGTACCCTCATATGCTATCTGGTAGTCTATGAGTCTGTTCCTGAATCATTCAATTATGTTTATTTACTTCAAACCTGTATATGGCCTAATATCTATAATGTATGGCATTCCCCTATTTTTCTTTTTAAAAATTATCTTAGCTCTTCATGCAATGGTTTCTTCCATGTCAGTATTAGGAACCATTTGTAGACCCTCATCTACTTGTCATGGATTTCATTAAAATTGCATTGAATTTATAAATTATTCCAGGAAGAATAGACATCTTTATTGTGTTAAGCTGTTCTAACAAGGAACTAGTATCTTTCTCAATTTATTCAGACATTTAATTATTTCATTTATTGTTTTATTGATATCATTCTTTTTTTTTTTTTTTTTTTTA